TGATAATGCCGCTGCTGCTGCTGCTGATGATAATGATGGCGGGGGTAATGCTTATGCTACGGGTAATGATGATGACGATGATGATGATGATGGCGTTGATGACGATGCTGCTGATGATGCTGATGATGGTGACTGGGGTAAACATGATGCTGGTGATGGCGATGATGAGGATGTTGATAATGATGGCGATGGTGATGATGATGATGATTCGTGATGATGACGATGCCGATGATGATGATGATGATGATGATGATGATGATGGCGCTGACGATGCTGCGGATGATGCTGATGGTGTTGCGGATGATGATGATGATGCTCTTGATATTGATGACGATGATGATGATGATGATGATGATGATGATGATGATGATGATGATGATGATGATGATGATGATGATGATGATGATGATGATGATGATGATGATGATGGTGATGATGATAACGATGTTGTTAACGATGCTGGTATTGATGATTATGATAATGATGGTGGCGAGATACTGATGACGATCCTGATGACGGGGATGATCAGGCCCTCGTCATTCAATAGGGGCGCCTCCCGTTGTGGAAAGGAATCTGTGTATGGACTGCTATTGTAGGGGCACCCTTCGACGGGGGGCAGTGCATTTTAGCATCGTTGCCGCATATTTGGTGTACTCTGGTCCTCCTCCTCCTCCTCCTCCTCCTCCTCCTCCTCCTCGAAGGCTGGAGTGGGCCGTGCTCCCTCTTGCACAAAGGAGGCACCTTTCCATTTCCCCCTCCCCTTCCTTCTCCCTGCCGCTCCCCCGCCCCTCACCTCTTTTTCGCCTTCCCTCCTTTCCGTCCCTCCTCTCCCGGGCCGTCCCATCCCAATGGTCTATTTCGGTCCGACCGATCCGATTCGATGCCCATTCTGGCTGGCTGGCCTCGGCTCGACCCTAGCACTCCGACGATCCGACGCGGCAGGACGCCTGCGCGACGCTCTCGTGCGTCCTGGCGCAGCTGACCCGAATCGGTTTCGACCCCGAGGCGGTGCATGCCGGATCCGACGCGGATTTCGATTCGATCCGATTTTTCCTGAGTTCAAGCAGTGGCGAAGCGTCCTGGCTTGCCTATAGGCCCACCAAAGAATGTTCTAAGAACCTTCTGTGGTCTGCGCGAAAGGTTCTTCGAACATTTCTGGCTGAGTCTATCTTGTTTTGACACATCGGGCTTACGTATGTACTAGGAACCTTGTTTTTGTTCTTAGAACATCTTTGCGTTCTACGAACATGTCGTGGTGGGCCTACAGGAATGCTGGGACGGTCGGTCCCTGCTCAATGAGTCGATGCTGACTGATCCTGACACTATGACGTCCAGAGGGTCTAATTGTTGCTGTGCCCCAATCGGGGGGCGTTGGCAGGAGGATGCGGCTCAGGCACGTGTCCTTCTGGAAGCCCCCCCCCGCCCGCTTGTGACGAATCCCAGAGTGCGAGCTTCCTTTGAGGATGTTGTGTCTCAGAGGAGGAAATATTCCGACACCGCTGCTCGTCCTGGAGAGCTCTCGTCTCGACGGCTTATTTATTATCGAAATTCTGGTCAGAGTGTTCCCCAGGAGAGGTCCAGGGGGCAGCGGTATCTGGTGCCTGCTGCGCCGCGAGTTGGGCTTGTGCTCACGATCCGCCTGCAGGCCCCACGCTCCGACGCAGCTCAGGAGCTTCGAACGGTGAGCGGTGCAGGATGTTCTGACACCGAATGGTGAGCAGCCGTATGGGGAGCGCACGGCTGCTTTTCTTGCGAAGGGCCGCCACCGCGAGCAGGGTCGACGCATGAGCAGTGTTCAGCACCACGGCCTTCCAGCCATGAGGCCATCCCACCCATCGATTGATCTCGAGGCCTGGTTCTCTCTCCTCCACCCTTTCTTCCTCATCAATCCTACCCCCTCTCCTCCTCGTCGTCCCTCCTTCCCCCATTTTCATCCTTCCAAAAAGTTTAATCGCTTCGCTCATTCCGCCGGCCCATATTGCCTCGCTGCTGTCGTTTGTCGGCGTGTTGTTGTCAATCCGGTGCGGTTGGGCGGCTGCCATTTCCCGGAGGCGGTGGGTGGTGGGTCAGAGGCCTCATGGATGTTGGTTGGGCTCTCGAGGTTGGCCTCTCAGGGGCCTCTGGGAGACAGTTTTGAGACCTCTTGGGGGCCGTGCTGGGGCCGTGTTGGGGCCGTGTTGGGGCCTCTTGGGGCCTCTTCGGGGCCTCTTGGGGCTTCTTGGGGTGCCTCTTGGGGGCCCCTTGGGGCCTCTTGGGGGCCTCTTGGGGGCCTCTTGGGGCCTCCTGGGGGCCTCTTGGGGCTGAAGGCTAAACTTTTCGGTTCCTGGTCCCCTTCTTGGGCCCTTCTTGGGACCGTTTGGGGCCCTCTTGGGCCGTCTTGGGCGCCTCTTGGGCTGTCTTGGGGCTATCTTGGGCCGTGTTTGGGCACTCTTGGAGGCCTTTTAGGCCGTGTTGGGGCGACCGTGGAAGCCTCTAGGGCTGCCTTGGAGCGCGGGTAAGCCCCGAAGGCGAGAACGCCGAAAACTTCAAACATTTTAGGAACGTCGCCTCTGTGGGCCCTATTGGGAAAGCCCAAACCCTTCGAAAACTGCAGGAAGATCACTCATTTCTGCCTCTGTGGAGGTCTCTTGGAGGCCTCTTGGGGCGTCTTGAAGGTGCTTTGGGCTGTCTGGAGGCCATCTGTAGCGTCTTGGATCGCTCTTGGGCCGTCTCGGGCCATGTTGAGTTCTCTTGGAGGCCACTTGAGGCGCTCCTGGAGAGCTCCTGGGAGCCTGCTGGGATCTGGCCAGGATCTGCCTGGGACCTGCCCGGGACCTTGCCAGGACTTTGCCGGGACCTTGTCAGGACCTTGCTGTGACTTGCCGGGACCTTGCCAGGACTTTGCCGGGGTAGTTGTTGTCCGGGACCCTCAGGGGCGGCCCCGCGAGCGAACTAGAATATTGTTAACCAGTCATCGGAGATTTTAGCACTCCCTTGGCCCATTGGGCTGGCGAGTTCGTCCTTCTTCTGTATCCCCCATCTCCTGTCTTATTCCTCCCTCCTCCCTCGTTCCTCTCCATGCCTCCTCCTCCCACCTTCAGTCCGCCTTCCCTCCGTAGCTATTTTGGCTCAAGCCGTCCACCAAAGCGGGCGACCTCTCCATTGGTCAAGCCAGCTCGGTCGGCAAATTCTGTCGGTGGCGGTGGGCGCGGGGACGCTGAGGTGGAGATGGCGCGGGGCGGGTCTCCGTCGGGGGCTCGCGGAAGGACCCGAGCACAGCGCTAGGCGGCAAGCTGCCGTGTTCGGGAGGCGGCGGATGCAGCCACCGCCAATATTCAGGCCAAGCTCGTCGAGGCTCACCGCCTTGTATCGGCACTTGAGCTCGACCTCGCGAGGTTCTTCACAGATTGCGGTTCTGGCGAGGAGCTGCGGCGTTGACTTCTTATCATCCCTGCTCTAGCTGCTGGAGTTTCAGGCGCGCGTGTTCCTGGTGCCGGGCGTGCCAGGAGTAACTTCGGCCTAAGTCAGGGCGTTGTCGCAACCACTCGATCTGACAATTGACGGTTGTTGCCGCTGCCTGGATGCGCTTGTCAGTATTGCCCCTCGTCGGTTTCGGGCCTTGTTTCCTCCTCGTGGAGGAGGAGGAGGACGAGGAGGAGGAGGAGGAGGAGGAGGATCCCTCCGCCCGTCGTGGTCGGTCTCTTGTGGCCATCGCCTTCGTCTTTCGGGCCCTCGTTCGCTCTGGGAGCTGGCACGTGCGCTCTGGGAGCTGGCGCTCGACTCTCGCGCGCGTCCAAACAGTCCTCCTTCCCCCCTCCCCCCTCCGTCCTTCCTTCCGTCTCCTCCTTCTCCTCCTTCTCTTGGCTCAGGCAATCCTGGCTCAAGCTTGGCTCAGGTTGCAGATCAAGATGCAACGATGAATCCCGCTTCCCAGAGCTTTTTCTTACGCCCCCAACATGTGTTGCCAATACGAGTTGGCAGTTTCCGTGGTGGAAGAGGCCAGTACGACGTCACCGCCTAAACGGTGCCAGCTTCGCTACAAGGGAGTTGCAGTACGACATGCAATTGCTGATACGAGCAGTATGAAGGATAATCCTCGATTTGCTGCATTCGTTGACAACACATGCCCAGGCATGAACATCAACTCCAGCAATATCATTCGTTTGGAGGCGAAGGTAGTTTTCATTTTGCAGCATCGTAGGTATGGCGCTCCCTCAATAGATATTGAGGCATATACCTGGACATGGAATAAGACTTCTGGTCACCGCTGGGAGTTTGGGAGCCCCCCCAGAACTTGTCGCATCGAGTCCTTCCCAAGAACAACGCTATCATACCTTTTACCTATCGCATGGATGAAGTCAAAGCGGGTGCGGCCAAGAGCAACGGCGTTTTCTGGAGAGGGCGTGTTCTTCGCAAACAAGTGTTGGAAAAAGGGCCATGGCGAAATCTATGATCGAATTCATTTTGAGGCCCGAGTTTGACGCGTTCTCTTCAGATTTGGAATCCACGAGAGTCGGATGTCGTCAATCACACGTCGAAAGCAACACCCACGCATCATGGCACCGTGCCCAGTTGACACCGACTTAGCTCGCCAGGCAGCAGATCGAAGACAGTTTCGACGCAAACCAGAGGCTATGGCGCCCCTCTCCCTCCTCTCCTCTATCCTCCTCCTCCTCCTCCTCCTCCTCCTCCTTTCTCTTTCCTCCTCCCAATCCTCCTCCTCCTCCTCCTCCTCCTCCTCCTCCTCCTCCTCCTCCTCCTCCTCATCCTTCTCCTCCTCCTCCTCCTCCCCCTCCTCATGCTCCTCCTCGTCGTCCTCCTCCTCCTCCTCCTCCTCCTCTTCCTGCTCCTCCTCCTCCTGCTTCTCCCCCTCCCCCTCCTCCTCTTCCTCCTGCCCCTGCTCCTGCTGCTCCTCCTCCTCCTCCTCCGCCTCCTCCTCATTCCCCAGCCGCCCCCTCGCCCTCCTTCCCTGTAGCCGCCGCGCATCCCGCTGGCCCCCTTGGGAGGGCGGGGCCCTGCAGGGGCCGACGCGGACGGGAACACCGCGCTGCACTGGGCCACGTGGTTCCGACTGGAGGCTCTTGCCGAGCGGCTGGTGCGCGCGGGGCGGGGGCCCCGCGGGGGCTCGGAGGCCCGCACGGCCTCGCGCCGCGAGGAAGGCAAGCTCCTCCTCCCCCCTCCTCCTCCTCCTCCTCCTCCTCCTCCCTCCTCCTCCCTCCTCCTCCCCCCTCCTCCCCTCCTCCTCCCTCTCCTCCTCCTCCCCCTCCTCCTCCCCTCCTCCTCCTCCTCCTCCTCCTCCTTCTCCTCCCTCCCCTCCTCTCCTCCCTCCTCCTCCCCTCCTCCTCCTCCTCCTCCTCCTCCTCCTCCCCCTCCTCCCCCTCTTCCTCCTCCTCCTCCTCCTCCTCCTCCTCCTCCTCCTCCTCCTCCTCCTCATCCTCCCCTTCCTGCTCCTCCTCCTCCCAGTCGCGCGCATCTTTTTTTGTTTCTCTTTCTCTCTCTCTCTCTCGTTTCTTTTGTTCGCCTCTCACGCGCTTTCTCTCTCTCTCTCTCTCTTTCCTCCTGCCCGTTCCCTACTCGCTCTGCAGCTCTTCGTCGTCCAATACCTTCGGTCGTGGTTTCCACCCTGGCGTTGTGAACGGCTCTCGCACCGCGGCGTTCCGCCCGGGAGGCGGCAGCTGCTTGTGGGGCTCTTGGCCACAGGACATGGACAACTCGCGATGTGCGTTTTTTTGGTGGCCATGGGCAACCACCGGGCCCGGGACCGCCACAGATCAACTCAGGACGAGAACCTGGCCCCTCCGAGAGGGCCCCTGGCGGGCCCAGACTGGACCCAAGCCGGCTTCGGATGGCGCTGGGCGGGCCGGGCTCGCCCTCAGCCTGCTGGACAGAGGCCTTTGGGGGCCCGCGCCTCGGATGTGCCGCTGCCGCTGCCCTTCCGCCCCTCGCGGGCTCCCGCTTTTCCGCCCGGCCGGTGCGGTTCGACGCCAGCCCCGCCCGGCTGGGTCCGATCCGGCCGGACTTTTTCCGAATGGTGCGGCCTGGTGCTTGCATCATGATCGTTTTCTTATCCAGTGTTTTGCCGATCGGCGCGGGCCCTCGTACCCCCCCTTCCCCCCCACTTGGAGTAGATCTTGGGTGTTTTGGGTGCCCTTTCCAAGCAGGTGGGGCGTCCCCCGCAGGACGCACTGTTGCAATCAGTCGCACCAAGCAGGGGTCCAGAGCCAGACCTCCCCCGCCCCACCCTTCCGCCCAATGTCGAGACGCCGAATGAGAAATCGCTCGCCATGTCAGGGGCGCGGATAGAGGGGAAAGTGAAAGGGCGCAGGCTTTCTCAGAAGGCGGCGGGACTTCTCAGAAGCCCCCCGGCCGTCCGAGAAGGTCTCCGTGCTTTCGGAGAAGGTCCAGAAAGCTTCTCAGAAGGGCAGTGGCTTTCGAGCCTTCTGAGAAGGGCCACCCCCTCTGCCTTGCCCCCCTAGTCGTACCGCCGAGCATGTGCATCCTGGCGCGGCCAGTGCGATCCGAGTCCGGCTCCATGCCGCTGCGTGCCGATCCGACGCGAGTCGTGATTCGGTCCGATGTCCCGATGCGATGCTTCTGACCGCTGCCTGTTTCGTCGTCGTCAAGGCTGGATTCGCCTCGAGACATCCATGGAGAGGTTCAGGGAGCGGCGGTATCGGTATATACTTGTTCCTCCAGGGAGGGAGGAGAAGGGCTCAGCACCCTCCGAAACCTCAAGGTGACTCCCTTCCTTCCACCCCCCTGGACGAGCATGATGCGGAGGATGAGGAAGGAATAGAGAGAAGGAGAAGGAGAAAGAGAGAGAGAGAGAGAGATGGAGCAGGGTGAAGAGGAGCACGAGCAGGAGAGAAGACCGACGGCCCACGACGTCCGACGACGCTGACCACGATCACGACGGAAGACGACGACGACGACGCCGACGACGACGACGACGACGACGGCGGCGGCGACGACGACGTCGGCGACGACGACCGACGACCGACGACCGACGACCGACGACCGACGACCGACGGCCGACGACCGACGACCGACGACCGACGACCGACCGACGACTGTGGCCGACGACCGACGACGATGATGACCACGACGGCCCACAGTGTACGACCACGACGACGGCGACGTCCGACGGGCAACGACCGCGGCAGCCGACGAGCGACGGCTGCCGACGACCGATGCCCGACGACGGCGGACGACGCGCGACGACGACGACCACGACGGGGCCGACGCGGCCGGGGAGGTCGAGCGCGGCGCGCGGGTGGACGCGGCGAATTCGCAGGGCGAGGCCCCGCCCCTCCGCGCGCCTCCGGGTCGGCGCCAGCGCCGCCGGCGCCCTCGTCGTCGGCGTCCTCCTCCTCGCCTCTGCGGGGGAGCGGGTGTGCCTCCAGAGGGCCGGCCGAGGCAGCCGCAGCCCGTCCCCGCCCTTTTCCGTCCGCTCTGGGGGCCCCTTTGGGAGGTGTCTCGTCGCCGCGCGGCGGGGGCCGCCTCGGAGCACGAGTCAGGCGGGACTCCGTGAGGGTTCCATGGGAGGGTTCGGAAGGGGGTGTGGGTCGGGCGGGAGAGGCGCCGCTGTCTGGGTCGGGCGGGAGAGGGGCCGCTGTCTCACCTGGCGCTCCCCTCGGCGGGGAGCGGGGAGGGAGGAGGGACGGGGGACTGGTGGGGGAAGAGAACGCACAAACATAATGAACCGTCGACTCCCAGGAAAACATGGGGAAGTATGGAAAATGGGGGGGGGAGACGAATACCAGGAAAGTATGGAAAATAGGGAAAATGGGGGGGAGATTTGGAAAATGGGGGGGGAATCTTGGGATTCGTGTGTGTGTGTGTCTATTTGTGTGCCCCTGGGCACCTTTAGAGACGCAGGCGACAGCATGCAGAGAGCGTCGCTCCAGACGATTGCATGGCATGCCTCGCCAAACGTCTCTGTCCGGCCAGCCGTGACAGGAACAAGTGAACAGATATGGCTTTATTCTTTTTCTCCTCCTCGCCGCCGTCCTCGCCGCCGCTGGCGTCGGCGTCGGCGTCGCTCTGATCACATTTGCCGTCGCTGGCGTCCTCCGCTGGTGTCCGCTGCTGTCGTCGCCCCGTCGCCGGGGTGTGCACGGGCGACGCTGTGAAGTAACATCATTGTAGCTCTTTGTATTGCAATTGTTCATGCTGTAGCGTCTGGACTTGCTGATCATCGTTTGTCATGGGCGCCATCATCGGTCCACTGGGAAAACACATCGCCATCATCATCATCATCATCATCATCATCATCATCATCATCATCATCATCAGCATCATCGTCATCATCATCATCTTCACCATCATCATCATATTCATCCCAATTTGCATCACAATCGTAACCGTCATCGGCATCGACATCGGCACCTTCCTCCTGGTCCTCGTCGTCGTCGTTGTCGCCGGCGCCGTCGTGGTCGGTGCCCTCGCCGTCGGCAGCTTTCCCCCGTCGCCCCCGTCCCCCTCGTCGTCCTCCTCGCCGGTCGAGGTCCCATTCGCGCAACGCGAATAGGATCTGGGCGCGCCAGAGAAACACAACCACAATCTGGTGGATGTTTCGTGAGGGCTCTTCGGGGAGAGAACCCGCCGACCTCGACATGAACACTCTGGTTGCGGTTGTTGTCGACTTGGCCGTCCTGGGATGCCATATCGACCACCACTAGTACGAAACCCGTTTCGGTGTCCCGGCAGGTTCTGGCATGCGCAGGACATCCCCCAGGGTGTGGCTTCGATGTGGTTCTGGTCGCTTCTTGCCGCCACCGCAATGAGACCAGGAGGGGGTGCGGGGGGGGGGAAAGGCCGCCTTGGCGCGGCGGGCGTGCCTCGAAGCTCGAGCTGTTTTGGCTTAGCCTTCGTGCCAAGGAAGCGAGCGCACGGGCGCCCGTTCTCCTTCTGGTCTTTCCAACCATCCTGTGGTGTTGGGTCCTCGTTTTGAAGGGAGCGCGCCGCGTCTCATTCTTTTCCTCCCTTCTCCCATTCCTGCCGTGGCCTTCTGCACCAGCCAGCCATTTCGGCACACCCCTCGGACGTGTCGTGGCCCCATAGGGAGCTCCACCGAAGGCCCCAACGGCAGGATCCACATGGCGGCGCCGCCCCATTTTGGCGCACCCCTCACACGATTCGTGGCCCCACAGGGAGCTCCACTGAAGGCCCCAGTGGCAGGGTCCACATGGCGGCCCCGCCCCATTTTGGCGCACCCTTCACGGGGCTTGTGGCCCCAGCAAGGGATTCACCGAAAGACCTAACGGCAGGGTCCACATGGCGGCGCCGTGCAATTTTTTGGCGCACCATTCACACGGTTCGTAGTCAGAAGGGTGCCGCAGTCAAAGGCCCCAGCTGAAGGGATCACATGGCGGCGTCGCCTCATTTTGGCGCACCCCTCACACGGTCCGTGGCCGACATGGAGTTCCACCGAATGCCCCAGTGTCAGGGTCCACATGGCGGCGCCGCCTCATTTTGGCGCACCCTTCACACGGTTCGAGGCCCCGATTGGAGATCAGCCGAAGGCCCCAGTGGCAGGGTCCACATGGCGTCTCCGCCCCATGTTGGTGCACCCCTCACACGGTTCGTGGCCTTCTTTGGATCCCAGCCGAAGTCCCCAGTGGCAGGGTCCACATGGCGGCGCCGCCCCATCTCGGCGCACCCCTCACACGATGGAGCCCCATAGGAAGATCCACCGAAGGCCTCAGTGGCGGGGTTAGCATGGCGATGCCGCTCAGTTTTGGCGCACCCCTCACGATTCGTGGCCCCATAGGGAGCTCCACCGAAAGCGGTGCCACACACGGTACTCACAACTGCATACGGGTGGGTCTTTCGCCAGGATGTGTCTTTTCCCTACCCGACAGGTTGGGATTGTTAGATTTCAGGAGGAGGCCACCCCGGTCAACCCCACCGTGCATGCCGCGGCCGCCAGACCCCAAGTTGTCCCGAGAATCCCGAGTATCTCGGGTGTCCTCGCCGGCGAACCCCACCCTGCATACCGTGGCCGCCAGACCCCAAGTTGTCCCGAGAATCCCGAGTATCTCGGGTGTCCTCGCCGGCGAACCCCACCCTGCATACCGTGGCCGCCAGACCCCAAGTTGCCCCGAGTGTCCCGAGTATCCCGGGTGTCCCGCCTCGCGCCCGGCCAACCCCACCCTGCAAACCGCGGCCGCCAGACCCTGATGATCCCGCCTCGCGTCCTCGACGAACACGACAGAGCACAACACAACATAACATAACCGAGCATAACATGTCACACCTTGACATGCCATATCATACCATGACGCACCACCACAGCACATATCATAACACGACAACAGAGTATAGCGACGACCAACACGACCGAACTCAACATGACACAACATAATATGACATAACATAGCACGAGCTTGCCAGAACATGACAACATAACATAGCAATGCCATGACAAACTAGAGCATACCATGACAACACATAACATACCATAGCATAACATGACGTAACCGAAGACGACATACCTCGTATCATGACGCAGCATCACATAACATATCATAACACGACAGCAGAGCATAGCGACACACACTAGCAGAGCAGACTATACTATACTACATAGAGCGAGGCCGTCAACAAACATAACATCACATAACATACCAGAGCAGAACATGACAGCACAACAGACGACACACCATATTATCATATAACGTAACCGAGCCTAGCATAACACACCTTGACGTACCAAATCATACTACGACACCGAATCACAGAACATCTTATACCACGAGAGCAGAGCATAGCGACGATGAACACGGCAGAACACAATATGACATCACATAGCAGAACACAAGCGTGCCAGAAGATGACAAAACAGAACAGAAATGCCATGGCGAATTAGAGCATAACGTAACACCATCGTACATACCAGAGCAGAGCATGATTTAACCGAAGACGGCACACCACAGCATAACATAACATCACTGAACTCGCCATGACGCACCTTGACAGAACCTATCATAGCATGACACAACATCACATACCACATCTGAACACAACAGCAGAGCACAGCGACACATACTAGCATACCACATCATAATATATCATGCATAGCCAAGCCATCAACACACACAACAACACATACCATACCAGAGCTGAACATGACAGAACATACGGCGACATAACACACTATAAGAGAACATAACCGAGCACCACGTAACACACCTTGATAATACTTGTAAGCCGAGCTGTCAAACGCATCACGGAACATAGCATACCATATTGAGCCGAGTTGTCAACAGCATCACGGACCAGAGCATACTAGAACATGAGTTGACATAGGACATCATGTCATAACATAGTGCCACAGAGCAGACCATGCCATAACATCTAAAAACACATGGTGACAGAGATGATCATAAACATAACATACGCGATGAGAAGAGATACATGTAAGTGAATAGAACCATCATAGCAGACGACGCATCTCACGTCACTGGCGTCACGACAGCATGCCGTCCCGTCGAAAACAACGCAACAGAACATATGAAATCATAACATGCAAGAACGTGACTACATGGAACACGGTTGAACTGCTTTTGAATCCAGAAGCGGCAGTTGTACAGTTGTGGAGATGAGTACCACGACGGAACACGACAGCACAATACACTAACAGAGCAGATCATGTTGAGTTGAGCCGTCAGCAGCATCACGGAACAGAGCATGCTACAACATAGTTTGGCATCACATTCCATGTTCTAGCTTCGTGCCGCAGAGCAGAGCATAATTGAACATACCAACGCATGGTGTGGCAGAAGCGGACATGACAGAGCATATTTCGACGGAGGAGATACAGGAAGGACAGAGGGATATCATAACATAACGAACCGTACATGCATGTTGGTCAGCTCGGGCACTGGAACCAACAGTCACAACAATGGTCGATTCGACGATGTATCAAACGTGGCAAGCGTCACGACGTCACGCCGGCCCGTCGATATCAGAACATCACAGAACACAGTGTCATAAATTACAGTGGGGCATCATCTTACCACACACACGCACTCACACTATAGCACAACTTCACGTATGCAGTAGCCACCACTCCACGGCGTCGCCCAGGCGTCACGACGTCACGCCGGTGCGTCGAGAACATAACAGGACATAATAGAGCATCACATGGTATAGCGTTATTACGTGGAACATTGGAAGTGACAAGCGTCGCGACGTCACGCCGGCCCGTCGATATCATAACATCACAGAAAACAGCATTCTGTCTTACATCGTGGCAAATTCCAACCAAACACACTATAGCACAACATCGCCTACGCAGCAGCCACCACTCCTCGGCGTCGCCCAGGCGTCACAACTTCACACTGGCCCGTCGAGGATATTACCAGACGTAACAGAACATAGCATGGTAGACCGTTACCACATGGAACATCGTCAAACATTTTTTGAATACAGCAACGGTACTAGTGGAGAATAGTATCACGACAGAACAGGACATGGCAAAGCACACTGAAAGAGCAGATCCGATTTTAATCGGAGCCGTCAACAGCATCACGGAACAGGGCATATCATAACATTGTCTGACAGAGCACATCATGTCCTAACCTGGTGCTGCAGAGCAGAGCGATTCGACTACGTATCTAAAGTGACAGGCGTCACGCGGGCCCGTCGAGATCAGAACATCACAGAAAACAGTGTTACATATTGCATTGTGGCATATTCCAATCAAACGCGCTATAGCTCAACATCACTTATACAGTAGCCACCATTCCACGGCCTCGCCCAGGCGTCACGACGTGGCGCCGGCCCGTCGAGGTCATCACATAACAAAGCACAGTGTTACATACTACATTGGGGCAGAATCCAACGAAATACACTACAGGACAAAATCACGTGTAAAGCAGCCACCGCTGCACGGCGCCGCCCCGTCGTCAGGCTCACCACAGGAACAAAAACGCGCAGCAGTGACCGCTTCGATGACGCGTCGAACGCGACAGGCGTCCCGAAGTCACGCCGTCTTCGCTGTCCGCCCCACCTCCTCATCCTTGTCCTTGCCTCCTCCTTCCCCTCCTTTTTCCCCACCCGACAGGCTGTTTTTTTTAGATTTCAAGAACAGGCCCCGCGTCCAACCGCACCTTGCATACCGCGGCCGCCAGACCCAAGCTTGTCGCGATGGTCCCGGGTATCCCGCCTCGCGCCCGGCCAACCCCACCTTGCATGCCGCGGCCGCCAGACCCCAAGTTGTCCCGAGTGTCCCGAGTGTCCCGAGTGTCCCGAGTATCCCAGGTGTCCCGCCTCGCGCCCGGCCAACCCCACCTTGCATACCGCGGCCGCCAGACCCCAAGTTGTGCCGATGATCCCCGAGAGTCCTGGGTGTCCCACCTCGCGCCCGGCCAACCCCACCTTGCATACAGCGGCCGCCGGACCCCAATGTGTCCCGATGATCCCCGAGAGTCCCAGGGTTCCCGCTTCGCGCCCTTGACGAATTCGACAGAACACAACATGACAGAGCAGAACATGACAGATCGGAACAGAGCATGATGGAACATGACAGAACGGAGCATATCAACACCATGGCTAAGTAGACCGTGACAGCACATCAAAGACCATACCAGAGTAGAACATGACATAACATAGTCATGCAGATCACGACATAACGTAGCATAACCGAGCATAGCATCACACACCTTGACATACAATCTCATACACAACATATCACGTTGCGACAGCAGAGCGTATCTCCGACGAAGACGACAGTACACAACATGCCACAACATACCATGTCTTAACATAAGACGATCATGACATAACACGACATAACAGAACATAGCAACGCAATAACAGTTTATATAATAACATAACATCACATAACATCCAGAACATATTATGACACAGCATGAGACGACACAACACAACATAACATAACACAACCAAACATAGCATGACACGCCTTGACATAACATATCATGGCATGACAGCATCACATAACATACCATACCACGACAGCAGAGCATAGCGACGTCGAACACTACATACTACAACATTACGCAACACAACATAACAGGACATAACCCGAGCATGACAGAGCATGAAAACACATAACATATCAAAACCATGACAAACCAGGACATACCATAACATCACATACCATACTAGAGCAGAACATGGCAGCTCAGAAGACGAAATCCAATAACACAACATATCATAACCGATCATACCAACACGCACACACTCGGACATCATATCATATCATGATACATCATCATCACAAAATGTAAGATTACACGGCAACAAAGCATAGCGACACGTATTAACCGAGCATACCATAAGATATGATTCAGAGCCGAGCCGTCACCAAACATAACACCATATAACATACCAGCGCATACCATTACATAACATAAGACGACATAACATACCATACCATGATGTAAGCAAGCTTAACACACCACACCATGACAGACCATATTATATCATATCATTGCATCATGACAGAACATATCATAACACGGCATCAACGCACAGCAACACATGATATCATACCATGTCTTATTATAGTATACTGAGCCAAACTGGCAACATCATCATTGAACACAGCACGCTAGCACATAGCCTGACATAACATAGCAAGCCATATCATAGTGCCACATATCAGATCATACCATACCATATCAGTTCATCGTGTGATATAGATGAGCATATCAGAGTATACAACATACTCAATCAGAAGAGACATATAAGTGAATACACACATAACAGACGACGCATCTAACGTCACAGGCGTCACGACGTCACGCCCGCCCGTCCAGAACAGAACGGGACATAGTATAGCATAACATTAGATAGCGTGACTACATGGAACACAGTTGAACCGTTTTTTGAATCCAGGAGCGGCAGTTGTTGACCAACTAGGCGACCGCGTGCCATCGGGAACAAACGCTTAAGGTCTCGTTGGGTATCGCTTGAAGCATTGTTTCTTTCTCTATCTCTCCCTCTGAGAGAGAGAGAGAGAGAGAGGGAGAGACTCTCTCTCTGACCCTCCATTACCTATCCCACTCTCACCCGCATCCCACACCATCCACAGCACTGCCCTGAGACCTGAGTCGCTGCTCAGCCGCAAGCTGCATCCGAGGGGGTAGAGGGGAAGCTGTCATGCAGCTGGCTGCTATACAGTTGATCTACAAGGAGGGTGCGAGGTGGGAAGCTGGGCAGCTAACATTGTTGCCTATCTGCCCTCGCTTGGTCGATGGTGTCTCAGCTACTATTGAGGGCCACTCTTAGATCTTTGATAAGATCGAAGTGGTGATGCAAGGTGGAACTGACCCAGCGGAACCGCTCACCCTCGGCTTGGCCAAGCTCAAACGCGTCCTTGTCACGCGCCGACTGCAGGCGGTCCATTGCCCTCATGTGCTCACCCTGCCGCTCATTTGAGTTCCTCTGATGTCCCAGTGAGCACCTCCTGGCACCCTCGATTGGCCTCTCTGCAGCGCGCTCTGAGACCCTCCGCTTGCGGGAGCTTCAAGTCCCTGCTGTTGCGCGGGAGCGCCTTCTTCGTCGTCGTCGTCCTCCTCTTCCTTCTCGATCATCCTCGTCCTTCTCGTCCTCCTCGATCCTCCTCGTCCTCCGCTTCCTCCTCGATGCTCCCCCTCCTGCAAATCCCGAGGCGGCGGTGCACTGGGCGGCAAAGTCCTCCAACGTCCACTCGCTCGACACCATGACCGCCCCACGACTCCATTGCCCTCTGCTCTTCCCCCCCTCCCCTCGCCTCCCCACCTTCCTCCCTCTTTCTGCTCCGCTCTTCGTCCTCGTCCCCGTCCTCCCTCGTCCACTTCGTCACTGTCCCTCCTCCCCCCTCCCCTTTTCACTCCCTTGCTTTCCTCCTCCTCAGCCGCCTGCGAAATCCTCCCTCTCTCTGCTCCGCTCTTCGTTCTCGTCCCAGTCCTCCCTTGTCCACTTCGTCCCTGTCCCTCCTCCCCCCCTCCCCTTTTCCTCCCCTGCTTTCCTCCTCCTCAGCCGCCTTCGAAACGAAAATCGCCACCGTGCCAGCACAGCAGTGCATCAGCGCTGCACGATATGTGGCCCCGTGCTCTTCCCGCCCTCCTCCCCCGTCCTTCCGCTCCCCCCCTCCTCTCTACACTCAAGCCTCTTCGCCTCAAGCTATTGCAGACCGTGGCGGAACGCCTCACCTGCGCGCGGTGCTTGATGAACACCGGTGCTGCGATCACCGTTCGATGCCCTTCCCGGGTCACGAGCGGACCGCTTTACAGCTTTTACGGGCTGATGGCCACGTGGTCGCGGCCTCGGGTTAGCGAAGAAGGCGTGCATTGCTCCATGGATGAAGATTCCGCAAGCAGGGCCACAAGCGAAGGCATCTCAGCTCGGAAGGCGGTCATCGTCGCCGGGCTTGTCAGTCTAGGTCTCCTACCCGCCATCATCTTCCGCCACCATTTCACAAGACCATTCACGCCCTTCAGCAGGACTTGGCATGGGCATAAGCAGCGCTCAGGCACACTCGGCTTGACAGTCAAGGCCAGTTCTCTCGCCTCACCTCTGGTCAGCGAGATCGAGGGGTTCCACGACATCATCGGCAAAGCAGTCGCCACCTACAGGCGGCCCGGATTAGCAGGTCGACCCTGCCAGATCAAGGGTACCTTCGTCTTCTGTTCCTTGCGACCCATGTCTCCTACATTCCTATGGCAATGTGGACCGCGGAAGGGTCTTGTGTCCTCTCGCGTGTCCTGTCCAATCAAGTCCGACTGTAGCGAGATCGAGGTGTTCCACGACATCATCGGCAAAGCAGTGGCCACTTACAATTTCGAGGACGGTGGGTGCTCCAAATCATACGACACCAAGTCAACCTAGGTTTGTGGAGGACGATCAATTGAGAGGAAGCATGTTGCCAAATAATTTCCAGATGTCTAAAACATGTGTTGAACATGCTTTAAGCATTTTAAACACATGTTTAGAACATGTTTAGAACATGCTTCCGACATTGTAATCACATTTTAAAATCAATGATAGGACTGTTCGGGTGTCCATTGTCATGGCATCCACAAACTTAGGTCTTGGATGGGGGGGGTCGAGGACATGAAGCAAGTTGTGGCGGACACCGATTGCATGCGGTATTCGCTCGTGGCCCAGTTGGTCGGCTGGGCCTCTGCTGAAGCCTATGCAAGGGGACGTCTCGTATGCGCCCGTCATGGCCTCGATCGATTCCACCAGTCTGTTACGATCGCACCACTTGGGTCGGAGTCGCAAATGGTTGGCGGGACGGTCATTGGATACCTCACTAAGCACATGGAACGACTTGAAGCAGGTTTGGGCGTGAACGCATACGCATTCTCACGCATCTTCGTCTTCACAGGCAATTGCCTCTTCCGCTCTTCCGCTGCGTTTCCTGACAGTTGCCATTCAGGAGTCGTGCGCGTCCTTCAGCAAGACGGTGTATGCCAGTCTCGCGGTGATAGTCTATGACGAAGCCAGCCCGTGACACTCCTGCACGTTCCCGGCATTGAGAACTCAGAAAGGAAGTTGTCGGGGCGGATTCGTTCCACGCGGGTGCGGTGCAGCTGTTCTCAGGATCATCAAGGGGTTCACAGCCGTGGTTAAGGAGCACGGCAATGTTATACCTGCACCTAGGCATAGTCAAAAAACGGATGCAAGGCAAAGTAATGCCCGAGCCCCGCGAGGCAGTCACCCCGATGTCAACCCAGCAGGAGCCGCGACCATATTCTTTCACATCGGCCAGCTCAAGGAGAAGGTTCTGGAGGCGAGTCTCCTGAGCTTCGCGGTGAGACTCTCTATGGACAGAGTTACCGTGTGCCCACCATGGCGCGACAGCTCGTGCCACGTGTCAGGCCATTGCTCAGCACGTCAACCCAGACGTTCTGCATGGCAGCAGTGGCACTCTCTTTGTTATCTGGCTTCCCCCAGGGACTCTAGGGGGCGATGATGGCTCCCCTCGCCACGTGTGATCCCTTTGGACGATGTGGTTTCCGCAGGGGGTCGTCTTGCCCTGTGGGTGGGGTTCCCCGAGCCGCCAGTCAGGTGCGCGGGCGTGCGAGCCCGCCTTTTCAGCACCTCAGCATGCGACGTTCAGCAATCATCACCTCTCGTGGTGCCTGCCCCGAATTATTTCCCGCCCAGTGGGAGTATTTCCCGTCCAGTGGGAATAGGCAGGCTGAGCAGGCAGCGGCGTCGCAGCAGGTGCAGGTTCCACTTGCCTCGGCAAGTGTTGACGAGGATCTCTCAGAGCTAGTTTCTCCGGATGATGCTTAAGAGGACTGCGGCGCTTCTAGTTGCGGCGGTGACAGTTTTATTTCCGCGCCGCCAGCTCCGCAGTCGGGCGTCGTTCTCAAGGGGGGCGTCGTTTTCAAGGAGAGGTAGAACCCCCCTTCCGTGACAGCGCCAAGTGTTGTTCAGCAGGCGGCCGGGGCGCCCGCGCGCGATGGGCGGCGCGAGCCCGAGGCCCACTGCCGCGCGAGGCGTTCAAGATACCCCAGACGCGCGCGACAATCGGGTCGTCGCGCCACTCAGTGGTCTCCGTCTAAGGTGATGAGCTCGTCGCTGGCACGGTCGCGCGTCAAAATTTGCGTTGGCGCGGTTGACAGGCCAACTAGAAGCGGGAATTGCCCCCCTGATCATTTTCCGCCAGATTGGGCAGATCAATCCGTCTAAGGAGAGGCGTAGTCGCGGACTTGGACTCTTTCAAGTTGGGCCCGCTGGCGCGCTTCAGCTGCGTGCAGCAAGAACAAGATCCATGAAGCCACTCATTTGAGTATGCGTTAGCGTTGTATCTACGTGCGCCACTTTGGCTGCGGTCCCCCTGGTTGGGGGCGCATGCCGGCGCTCGGTGGCGTTTTCTTCTTTCAGCGGGCGTGCTCTTCTATCGCGGCGGCATTTCTTGGGACTTGCAGCGCGCGGGGAAGTCGGCGGAAACGTTTCCAGCTTTCGGGTGTTTGCGCAGCCGCAGCCCAGCGCGGCTAAATGGAGGTCCGGGGGCGCTCCGAGGCGACCGACGAGCGTTCCAAGGGCGGCCCAGTGGCCCCCAAGAGGGCGCCGAGATTGCCCGAGAGGGCGCCGCGACGGCTCGAGAGGGGTCCAAGGCGGCCTGAGAGGGCCCCCAAGACGGCCCAAGAGGGCTCCAAGAGGCCGCCGAGAAGAGCCCCACGAGGCCCCGAAGAGGGCCCAAGACGGCCAAGGCCCACCAATCTTGTCCAACACTGTTCCCGAACTGCCTGGGCGGGCCTCGAGATGGGCCCCGAGGAGGCGCGAGAAGAGGCCAAAGTCATTCCACGGGGTGGGCGGCGACGCGCAACAGCTCTGAACATCGGGGCTCCCAGGTGCGAGCGGCGACGTGCGGCAGCTCGAAACGCAGAGGCCCCCAGGGGCGGGCCGCGACGCAAGATGCACTGGTCGCACGGGCTCCCAAGAGCGAGCTGTGACGCGAAAGAACTTTCGACGCCGATGTCCCGCGCGCGAGTGGCGACGCGAACGGCTCGCAACAACGGCGCCCCCGCGAGCCCGCAGCGACGTCGAAGGCGCATGCCGCAAGGGTTTCCAGGGGCGATCAGTCGTGTGAGAGCCGCGGCCCCCATTGAGCGAGCGGCGACGTAACGTCGGATTCGCAAGGGTGAAGCTGAGTTAGACAGACTCCCTGTTTTCCCCTCCTCGCTCATTAGCTGCGCGCGCCGCGCTTCCGTTGCCGCCTTGGCCCCCCTGGCGCGCAGCTGGCGCGCGCCATGTAACCGGGGAGTTTTTGAACGCCCTGGAGTGCGCGGTGAACGAAGGGAAGTCAGGGCGCGGCTGTGAAATGCCCTTGCTTGGTCTTCTGTTCACCCTCTGCGAGGGGTGCCCGCGCGTCAGCGGTCGCGGTTGCCGTCGCGAGCCGCTGGCGCAGGAATGCGAAGACCTGGCTCGCGCCCGCCCGCTGGCAGGCGCCGCGCCGACGCGCGCGGGGGAGCTCGTTCGCGGTTCGCGCGGCCCCCGCGGCAAAGCGGGCGCGCGCGCTCGGCGACCTTTTTTTGAAGCGCTGGGGAACGTGGGGACCGTCCTGAAAGCGGGCGCGCGGCCGCCGCCCGTGCAGGCTGTTTGCGCCTCTGGTCAGCCCTTCTGCGCAGTGGTCCGCCGCGCGCTGTGCAGCTGCTTCCGGCTGGGGCCCCAGTCTCAGTGCTGTGCGGCGACGCCGCCCTATCCTCGAAGCGGGCAGCGGCCTTCCCGGTCGTTCCCGGCGAGAACGTGCGGGTGGGCTTCAGCGTCGTGCTGCCGCCTGTCCTGGCACCTTCAGGCCACTGTGAAGAGCGCGCCATCAAAGGCGCAGAGGCGCGGTGGATCGCAAAATCGTTTGAATCGTGGGGCGCCTCGCTGCGCGCTAACTGTGCGTTCTGTTTTGGGGGCAACGCTGCAGCCATCAATGGGTGCGTCAAAGAATGTGCCGAATTCCCGCGCGTAGCGTGCGTGGTGGAGGCCAATTCGCGAGAGCTCGGCTGAAGCATGTATACATTCAGTCGATTTGGTCGACCCAGCTTCGCGTGAGGACGGCGAAGCCGCGGTTCGCGTGCTCGGGGCGGAAGTGGTTGCTGTATCGCCGATGTTTTCGGCGAGCCTTGGCCGTTGCCGCGGAGTGTAAGCTGGCGCGCGTCTTGGTAAAAAACTGGTGTCGTTTTCGTCTTCGCCGTCGTCGTCGTCGTCGTCGTCTCCCTGCTCCTTCTCCCCTG